CATCCACAGACGCAAAAGCAAATGAGTTCCTTGGCCTTAGCTGAAACGTGCTTGCCTGGCTACTGCCAAAGCCTGCACACCATCACCTGTGTTCCTGGAAGAGCAGTATTTCCTCAGATCAGAGCAGCACTTCCTCACATTTCCTTAGAGATCGTAACACCATCTATATGTTTTGCTTTTTAACCTGAATCTGAACGTGCCCTGTTAGGTTCTGACTGCAGTTGAGACCATTTAAACTCCTGAGTGGTGCTCAATGCTGTTCTTTTGAACTGATGATCACATCTCACTTTTATTTTTAAAGGAAATTCAGTTCAAATTGATTTTTTTTTTTTTCCCCCCTCCTCTCACACTGATGCCCAGGGAAAATTTTGAATGCTTCCCCATCACTTTTTCCACCAGTCAAGGATGGGAACGCCCATCAGCAAGCCCTGCAAAGTGGATTCAAAGTCACAGGCTGCACCGTGCATTTTGTCCTGGTAAGTGTCCTCTTGCCTAACATTGAGTAAGTTATGAAAAGGAATTTGCTTTTTTCTTTTCTTTCTGAAGGCAGAAACAGGAAGAGGTAACAGGAATGTGTGGAAATCTTGGGATTGTTACCAGTAAAAACAGGAAGATGTGGGGATTACATTGCATTTGTGGTTTCTTAAGATACTGTCTTCTTCCTTCGTATGTTTTTTTCTTCAGTTTCTCCTACCCTCAGCAAACTGCCCGCTGAATCTTCTAGCCCATGTCTCTCCCCACTGTGCCCCCTAATGTAATGTAGGTACCCCTAATGGAGGTCGTAAACCTCTCCAGATATACTTTCAGCCCCCTGCACACAACCACAGATGTGCTTGCTGAGATCTCTCATGAGACTTTCTTTGCCCTGTCCAGCATTGTCCATAACCCTCTTGAGACTGTTAACCAGCCTCTTCTGAAAGACTGCCAATATCCCCATTTTAGGAGGAATCTAGTCCAAAAGCAGTGATCCACCAGGAGCCGGTATCTGTGAAGGCAGACGACACCGAGGAGACGCTGTCCGAAAGGGTTAAAGAAGCCGAGTGCCGGGCTTTTCCCATCGCCCTGCAGCTGGTGGCCAGCGGAGCAGTGCAGTTAGGAGCCGATGGTAAAACCTACTGGAAACAAGAGAGCCAAAGTCTCTGTCTTCAAGAGGAGACGTGCACGTCCTCTCTTGTAGCTCTGGAGCCTCAAGAAAATGATGTGGTGTAGCCAGGTTAATGAGCGGCTTGCTCTCTGCTCATCTTTCCCTCCTCCCTCCTCCTCCTTGCCCTTGATGTGCTTCTCTCTGACTGCCGGCATATCAGTGTCACAGGTTGCCATTCTGAGCTGTGATCCTCTTCCCCTAGCTTGCAGCTTTAGTTACACTCCTTTTGCAAAATTGGCGGCAGAAGCCAAGCTATCATTTCAGATTTTAAATGTCTTTGTTCTGTTTTTTCATCTGTAAAAGAGATACTGTGTTACAAATCAAAGAGGGAGCTTAAGCTGTGAAAAAGGTCTAGTGCTTCAGAGGGAAATTAATTCTTCTGAGGGATCGAGTTTTGTTGGCTGCGTCATGTTGCAGAGCCCAAAGAGCTTCACAGAGCAACCACAAACACAAACCATGCTGCTGCAAGAGGGTGACCAGCTACTGTTGGATGGAAGAGGCCAGACATGTTGGGGCAGAGCAGAAGTGAGGCCCAGCCTGGCACAGTGTGGATGTGGGGGTGAACAAGCATTAGGGATGAATGCGTAGTTCTGTGGGAGGAAGTGGGAGCCTACGAGGACCTTGTTCTTGTGAGCCCCACCACTGTGGGAGCTCCTCCGGACACAGAGGAGAGGAGGGCATGTAAACATGTGCACCAGTGTGGGGGCCAGAGTTTAGTCAGCTGCCAAGCAGAAGATTGAAAGGCCAAAAAGGCAGGAAACCTTTAGAAGGCAAAACAAAATGAAACCAACTCCCCTTCACAGATTATTTGTCAATATGATGTAATAGTGCATACTGAACATACATCTAGACACTTTCTCCTGCTCCTTGAAAGGGAGCGGTGCATAGACATTCCCAGAATTTCATATTAAAACATTTGGATCTTGACGGATGAAAATTTGATTAGGGGGACTAGAAACACTGGATTTCAGGCATTTTTCTTCCTTCATCCTTGAAATCAGCAGAACGAGACATCCTCAGCTTAACTTGCAGTAGCAGGAAAATCTCAATTTTCTTTGTTGACTGAATGATTGGCTTGGTCCAGAGAGTCGCTGCTGTTAAATAAAACCTTTTTCTGTGGAAGCTTATTTTGTATCTGCCAGAATAATGACTTGCATGCAAGTAATAAATCAGAGGAAGAAAGCTAGCTAAGAAGCTACTTGAACAAACTAGAAAAGAAGTAGCCAGAACTGAATTTTCCAGAGGAGGGATCACTAATAGCCATTAGATGCAGTGAAAAAAAATGTATTCTTGTTTTGGTATTACATGTACTGTACTAGTAAGGGACATACGGTGTATCTCGCTCTTGGCAGTATCAGGCTGTTTGAGAGGATGAGTCAGATTATTTTCCTTTTTTTTTTAATGTGTAGCTAGTGGTGTTTCAGTAGTTAGGGAGGGGAGAAACACTCAGTTCTCTCCTGTAAGCGCTGCCATTTATGTACAGAAATCCGTATTTGTCTCTTGCACTCCAACGACTGGAACAAGGAACGTGTATTTTTCATGATCTGGGAGAAATAGGAAGAACTGTAGTAAGGCAAGATTAACAAATGTTTGGTATATATAGATAATTTTTATGATAAACACATTGCTTAGTTTGCTTTCGGTCTGTTGTAACTGTGCAGTAACTTCATGTTTTATATTGTTTGAATTGCATAGCACGCATGACTGAATGTTTCAGACCTAACAAATAAAATGTTAAAAGAGAATGGGGTGCTAGTTATTGTGCTCTGATAGGGCTCCAGACTATCACCATGGTATCGAACAACTCTCTCTAATTGTGTTCCTGGCATCCCTCTGAGATTGGGTGTGGTGACAGGCTGTTAACCTATTTATTCTTTTTAACAGACTTGTAATTGAAGCAAAGCCATCAAAGATCCACTTCACAATGAAATTTCTTTTTAAGCATTTATAGAAATACAGATAGATGCTTAAATCCCATTTGTCATCAGTCTTAGATGCTAAAATACCTGAGTCTTTCTCAAGATGTCTGTGATGGAATGGGGTGTTGGGTTTGGGGCTCCCAGGTCTTCTGCTATTGGTCTTCCTGGCAGCGATCAAACTGCTTTTATCAGTAATGTTGTATTTATTAACTGTACAGGTAATGATTTCTAGTAATCTTACTTCTAGTAATCTTACTAGTAATCTTACTACTTCTTATGTGTGAGTTAAATTAAGTACAATTTCTTTTGACTTGTAAAAGGTTTGCTGTGTCATGGCTAAGGCACTGAATTTGTGTGGACTGAACCCCTGCCAGAGCTGGATGGTCCCCGCATCTTTCACATTCTCACTGAGCAGGCTGGATTTCAAGCCTTGGTGGGCAGTTTGCCTGCGGGGGATGAGGCCCTTCCGTGGGAGGGCAGGTTTGTAAAGAAAAACGCTGGGCTGAAGACTTAGCTTTTATTCTTTGCCCTTTACAAGCAAATTAAATTTGACCATGTCATTTTCCTCTGTATTTGCTTGAGCTTTTTCCTCGGTGACAAATGATGACAGGAATATTTTGTCAGCAAGTTTCTTCATCACGGACCATCTGGCCACTGAAGCAGTAAGGTCACCACACTCCGTGAATCACTACTAACTTATGCAGGATTGCACGTCTGTAACCTCACAAACTGATTTACAGTTGCTGTACTGTAGATGAAGTTAGATTTCGTTTCACAAACTCTTCCTCCAGCTTATACCCCTAGTAAAGGAATTCCAGGGAAAGATTTTGATATTTAATTTTTCAACTTTATTAGACTTTATTTAAAATCCACATTAAGATTGCGTCAACATGGAAGTACCCTAAGGACATCAATGCACAGAATACAAATCAGCTTTCTCTGTGTTAAAGGGGAGGTCTAAAACATACATAATCAGCTTCAGTCAGATGCTTCTGGTTTGTATGGGGAAAAAACCGATTATTTTACTGTTTTTACAGCTATGCTAAAACATTAAAAGAAAACCAGGTGCTTTTTCACAAGAGTTCAGCTGTGCAAAAAACCTTATTGTTTTCAGAATAATAATATTTACTAGGTTTCCATCAGTATTATTTGAGGTGAAAATACTGTTCTAAGAATAAAGGCACTTAACTTCAGCAGAATTTCTGAAGAATGTCTCACAAGCCAAGAACACATTCTGTATCTAGTCCTAGCTCCCTTTCTCATTCAAAAAAAAAAGAAACCAACTCTTTTGGCTCTGAACAAATCTCTGAGAGGAATTAATATGTGGATTCACATGGGGATGCTTTGAAGGCAAATGATCAGCAGACATTTAATTCTATTTAGCATCTGATTGATAGCAGGTCCCATATTTGAAATTATGGCATATTCCAGAGAATCTGGGCCAGACAAGATCTACCAACATTAAAACAGAAAGTATACAGAAAAAAATCCATTTCGTTATCTGCAGGAATAGTTAGTGTTTTGGGAAGCCAGTTTTTCTTGTTTTGGCTAGAGATGTTTCTGAGTAAAGTTTTTTGCCTTTAGTTTTCTCTTCCTTTGAACTAGTTCCAGTACTTTTCCTCACAAACACTTCAAGCACATGACAAGAGAATCCCCTGTATGGTCTGTTAGAGAGTAATCCTGATGTTCCTAAGTCAATCTCAGAGATGCTCAGACCTCTCTGTAACCAACGGAATGCTTTTTTGTTTGTTAAGAAAGTGATTGAGAACGAAAATGTTGGCCAAGGAACGGATTATAATTAGGAAGCGTGTAACAGAGCCATTGCTGAGAACAGCCCCCTGCCTTAATACTCCCATTTGTGGCTTTCTGCGGATTTTACTTCAAATATTTAACCATTTGAGTGAGAACATGACATGGTAAACTCTATGTTGAAAACACCTTGTGAAGAGAACACAGTGTGCGTGTTATTAGGCTGTGACCTCTGTTTTGACCAATTAAGGCACCCCAGCTGTCCCATCTGAGGACCTTCACGGACGCGCTGCTCCTACTTCCAGTAGATCTTGCCGGCTTCCCCCACCTGTACAGCCCCGCTGGCGACAAGCTGCAGGGCAGCTGGGAAGGCTCGGTGCTCGGCCTCCTTCACCCTTTCGGACAGGGTCTCCTCTGTGTCACCAATCTTAACTGGAACTGCCTCTTGGAAAATGATTGCTCCAGCGTCAACTTCCTCCTGTAAAAGCAATAGCCGGAAAGTCCGTAGGGTTGAAAGATGAGAGAGAAGGAGGCCCAGCTGTACTACAATGAATGTAACCCAGTTGTCTCGGGGATCTGTTTATCATTACGTTATTACAGGAAACATGAATTTGGGCTCATGTGAGGAGTGCAGAGAAGATGCTGGCACTCACGCTGGCCTGTGAGGAACTAACAGAAGTGTAGGGTTCAAAGTAAAAGAGGAGGCAGGCACAACACCAGTGAGTAACATTTCTGCTACAGAAAGCAACAAAAGCCATGTTAACTAGGGACATGATAGGCTAAATTGGACAAAATGATGACATTTCAATTCAGAAGAGTGAACCAGCCAAGCCTTGGCACAGAGCGGGTCTAGAGGACCCAGCAGATCTTTCTTTTGCATGTTAATGAGGCAGATCCCTGCTGTTTAGTTATTGTTTCTCAGTACATTGCCACACAGAGAAGAAACCCTAAGTCATATCATGGGGAAAGGAATGCGATTTTTCCTTCTATCTGGAAAAATAGTTTTTGTCTCTTCTTCCAAGAAAAAGCAAAAATCATGAGAACGGATTTCAGGAGCAGTAGAAAAGGGGAGGATAATCTGAAGAATGCAGTAGAGGAGGGGAGACTAGTTACTGTCAACCCTGAGAACTGAACAAGGTGGAAAAAATGCTCCCTGAACTGATAAAAATGTGCCTCTTCCAAGTTGAGAGATCTCTCGCTTTTGTTTTCTTATTTTTTGACTTACATAAATTGCCAAGTTTCTCCTCTGTTCCCACAAACACTGGGTTGCTTTTTAACAAATCTAAGCTTCTTGTGCCATTTCCAGTGTTGCTTTTTTTTCTTGAAAGCAACAAATAAGGAAGGTTGTATGATAAAATCTAAGAAGTTGGTGCCGTGTAGTAATAAAGATTTTTGGGCTAGCTAAGGCCTTATATGAACTAGTACCCCCACTGCAACTGGCGGAAGGCAGCAGTGGGATGCTTAGGGAAGAAGTTAACTTAGGTAAGGCTTAAACTCCTGTACAGACTATTCATTTCCAATTCCTTCTCCAGGGACAGCAAACTAAAGCACTATATTGTCTAATAATGTTATGAACGAACAAAGGAGAAAAGGTACTCAAACGTGATGGTGTAAGAGTGTTCCAAGCAAGCTCTGAGGTGAAAATCTTAAGTCTAATGAATTATAGAGTTAGAGGGAGGAAGAAGGAAGTACTTACAGCCACAAAGTGTACAGTACAGCCTGTGACTCGGACTCCAGCTTGTAACACCAATTTGTGGGCATTTGCTCCCTTAAAAGAAGGCAGTAGAGATGGGTGGATGTTCAGTATTTTTCCTGGAAAATTATAAGTGAGGTCATTGTCTTTTAGCATTCAGCCTTACCAGAGTGTTCAAAGTACCATAATCAACAGAGGATCAAAATACATTTGTGAAAAAGATTTTTCACGACTTTTGCATAGGCTTGTTTTTTGATGAGACTGACAGATAACCAGCCCAAAGCATTTCAGAATGTCTCGCTATTTCAGAAAAATCAAAGACAGCAATCAGTTACAATTAATTGCATGGCTAAAGCATATTTCTCCAGTGACTAACAATGATTAATTTTTTGATGTAGCTGTCCTTTCCCTCAGCATCTTGTTCTTCTCTTCTTTAATCACAAGCACAATCCTCTTTCTTCCAAACTCAGCACCCGGAAGAAACTCGGTGCGGTTTCAAATGACGTAGCAGACTCCCCATGACAAGGCAAAAATTCTTTAGCCTGGACTTTTCCTCCACACCTGTTTTGGCTTAATAAAAAACAACAGCTGCTCATATAGAAGCCCTCCTCTCTGCCCTTCCGAAAAGCACCTGTCTAGCACTACTACTTTCCACACAGAAAGTCGGCTGGGGGATCCTGAAATTGATAATGTAAACCTCTAATGCTCAACCAGGTGCGACCACGGGTATAACCCTGGGAAGCCTGTACCTTACCTTTCCCTTAAAAGAGAAAGCATACGCCTGAGTTCCCACCTAGCTGTAAAGTAAGGGAGGGTGGCTGCCTGTGACCTCAGGGTCTCACCGCTACAGCAATGCGATGGTTAAACCATGAGAAAACCTTCTTCCCCTGTCTGCTCCTAATGTCTGTGACAACTCCTCCTGCCCATGCTGGACCAGAGTGAAGTCAAAAGGTGCTTGACAGCCCTAGATCTTCTTTTAAATTCAGTACAAACCCTTACAAGATAAAAAAAAAAGTGGCCATCGATACTATTTATATCACAGTATGCTACGCCCACGCCGTCTCTGCATGTCTCCTCCAGTTTAGGAAGACTGTATGTCATCAGGATTCATTGAACACCACCTAAATGCCAAGCAGCGAGACTGAGCTGACATATGCTGGCGGAGGCAGCAGTGTCCCGAAATAGTCTTATGATTTTGTAATGTGAAGTGAAGGCCATTTCTGGCAGCACGATACGAAACCTGCACTCTCACCACAGTAACTCATGCAGATACTGACCTGTGCAACTTAAAGAGGCAAATGCATCAACTGATCTTTAATAATATCTCAAATGCATTTTGTATCTCAAAAATACCCCTTTTTAAGCATCAGCATTTCCCTGCTTGCTGCTTGAGCAAAAAAGTATTGGGGACAGTGAGCTGAAAACAACACTCTGCACTTCTGTCTGAGTCTCCCCAGTTTCTCCTTACAGTACCGTCAGACACTGCTCTAAAGGAAAGTGGTTTTCTGTAAGCTTGGTTTTGTTTTGTTTTGTTTTTTTTAATCTGTCCTTTATGTTGACATTCAAAATTAACATTTCAGGGCCATTAAACACGATGATAGTTTCACAACTAACTTCACACTGTATGTCCTTCTGACTAGAGGAGAAAGGAAAGGTGACAGCTTTCAAGAGAGCAGCAAGAAGAATTGATTGCACTGGACAATTTAGGCTAGTCAGTGCATGACTGGGTCAGAGTTTTACAGTAGGCTCCTGTTAGCTGGCACAGATCCCTGAGCTGAACTGAATGTTTGAGCTCACGTCTAAGACCTAACTGACGGATACTCTTGGTCAGAGCTAGGTAGGTATCTGTTTTCAAGCTCAATCCTGTACTGAAGGGAGTCTCTTTTCTTGCTCTCCAGCCAGTCATATGTGTAACACAAGTCCTGCACTGTGCAGGGCGATCATCAGTGCTGGAAGTGCTCTGTCCCTAAATCAGAGGAAACTAAGCTCATCCTTTATTTGCACAAGACCTCTAACACTAGAGAAGGTTCTTGCTTTTCCATCCTCTACACACATACTCTACTCAAAACACATCTCTCATGGTGAGGGATTCCTCTCTCCTAACTACAGCTGCCTACAGCACAGACATTTACATCTTCATCTTCTGGACTCCATAACGAATGGAGAGAAACAAAAACAATTAATCTGACTTATGTCAGTTGACAGCTTTAGCATAAAATGAATTGTCTCCCAGGAACGCCTGTTTTGCTCCCGTGATTTTAAAGAGAGGTTTGAAAACTCGTTCAGGTGTAAAAGGTCTGTGTCGTAGGCACACCCAGGGTAACACAAAAGTCACCATGTGAGCTATAAAGGCTGCCTGGAGAGCTGCAATGTATAGGCTGACCAGCCGGTAACTGGTATAAGCAAGAAATAGTTTAAGTAACTGTGACTGAACACAAAGCAGAGCAAACAGTGAGAAGAGCAGCTGCCTCTGTGTGATTCAGGACTCCCTAAAAGAAACAGGAAGAGATAAGAAGAGGAATGTAACAGCTGGGGGAGGGAGGACAACCACTGAAGCAGGCAGAGGTGTTATCAGCCTCTAACAAGGACCTGGAAAAATTGTAAAAAATGACCAGAATGGAGACGCTGTGAACACTTTGGACAAACAAGCTGAACCTGCCTGTGAAACATGCCACCCTCGGATTCAGACAGCTCCTGGGACGTCTGACCAGAAGACTGGCAAGATCTTGTTAATAGGAACTGCATATCGCTGCCTAGTTTTGCAGTTTTATCTGCAGCCAAAGCAGCTCATCTGTTAGTGGAAGGAATTCTCAGTGGCTGGATGCTCGCCTCTCCCCAACCAACACTTACTGCTTAGATAACAATTTGCCCTGCACCTCATGTTTGCAGGGGTCTAACGTTTTCACAGCCTTATTTTAAAATATTTTATATTAAATTAAAGACCACAAGATCTGCATTTGCCCTTGGCTTCCTTAAACCTCTGTGGAAATGACAGAGGGAAGGGGAAAAATACTGCCTTTCTCTTTCTCATCCTTTTCCTTACAAGATGGGCAGAGTCTTGTTTCCTGCAAACCCAGAATTAAAATGGTCCCTTTTCTATATTTTTCCCATTTTCTTTTTCCTGAGATATAAAATTACTTTTTTTTTTTAAATGCATATACTGCTATGTGGTGCTTACCTTCCCATTTTTTGACAAAAGGACCCGACAGTATTCGCATAAATCCAGCCAGACAGATCAGTTCAACTGAGGATTCTTCAAGGACTTTGTCAACTGCACTGTCAAATTCAGTGCGACTTTCATACAATTTATGGTCAATAACCTGTGATAATCCAAAAAATGAAGAAATATGGACATGGTGTTAATTTAATCTAAATGCATTAAGAGCACAATGAAATGGTACCCTGGAGTAATAAACAAAAACCAAGTAAGTCTCTATGTGTGGTTCGAGTTGGGTGCATATACACAGCAAGAAAAGCAGTTCATAAATGCATGCAGCTAACAGACAAACATGCACTCTTTATTCCTATTCACACAGAGCAATCATCAGAATAAATAAGGGTTTCTTTTATTAGGCCCACAGCTGTAGGCACCAGCATCTGGACACAATTTAACAACCTACAAATGTAGGTCATTAAGATAACCTAAAGTCTTAGAATGATTTCACTCAATTTAAGGCCTCTGATAGTTTTAAGCAGTTGAGCCTTGCTGAAAATTGTATCACAAAACCTTGAAGGAAAGGCTAATCACAAGCTGATAAAACAGCCCCTACTGCAAAAGGTCAATATAACTGAGTTAAGTATTTTCCATCCAGGATACATCCCCTAATTTAAACAGGAAGAAGACAGTGCTACGTAACTTAAAACATCCACAGCCTTTTAAATAAAAATACCTGTTAATCCCTACTATATTTACCATGGTGGGACATTTAAATATCACAAAGTAGTTTTGAAAAACCAGAACTGGTTAGCTGAAAAGATGGCAGAGGGCACTAGAAATAGAGCCCAGCTCAACACTGGGCTAAACTCTGCTATGAACTACCAGGTAATAACTGGCAAGGCGTGTACTCCTCAGTGTCTCTGTTTCACCACTCACTCTCCATCTTAACCACTAAGACCATCATCTCTCCAAGGCTGTATTTTTTTTCCTCATCATATGTTTGTTCTTCACCCACATACCATGGATGTACTTTACTTGTGATCTTTGTATACTCCCAAGTAAGAGACAGCAGTGCTAACAATCAGATCCTGCTACTATTCAAGTTAATAACAAAGCTTGCACTGGGCCCAAATCTTCCATATGTCTGTAGTTATCAGTGGAAAGTGACTGTAAAATGCTCCTGAGTCAGAGCAGTAGCATTTCACATCTGTAATGCAAATGGCTGTGCAAAGGGCAAAGCAATGCAGCGCTGGATCCAGTGACACTAAGGGAAATGCGGTTTGCTTTGAATGAATCCTGGAGAGCCTAAAGCAATGCCCAGGGAGTCAGTGGAAGGTCCCACTGAGTTTGACCTCTCTATTTCATTCAAATGAACTACTGGGTCTGTTTAGCATGTAATTTCAAAATTAAATTCAGATAAAATAGCTTGTTACTTTAGTGCAAATGCACTGCAGTTTAATAAATGGCAAAGTTTCAACTGTCACTGTGAAAGTTTTGTGCTGGTTTAACACAATGACTGTTCCCAAAACCATCACAATTGCTAGCAACATCTCTGAGAAGGAGAAAAGGAAGTATTTTGCTTCCCATGTTAGGTAGTTTGCCCAAGGGCACAAGTTCATGACAGACCAAAAAATAAAAGCTAAAGGCTTCCTGGCAAACCATCTCTTACCGTAGTAAAACTCATTATCTCAGAGTACCTTCTCAGAGCTAATGATGGCTAATTTTAAAAACATGAGAAATACTTACCCTTGTAGGAATACCAGACCTCTCAGCTTTCCTTAACCCCTCCACACCAGCTTTGTTAGAAACAACAAGAACTATTTGTGCGAAACTGGTGGGCTTTTTTGTGCTATTTATGAGGGCTTCCAGGTTTGTGCCTGTGAGTGAAAAAATAATTAATGATTATCAAGTTGTTCCTGGAGAATAAATATAGATAACAGCTAGACGAGGTTTTAAATAAGCAGCAATATGGGTGAGACCCAATCCAAAAACCACTGATGTTAACAGTAATCCTTTTTTCATTGGTTTTACTGAGAACTGAATTCGACAGCTGGAGGCTACAGGGCTTTTACTAGCAAATAAATTTGTAAACTGTAATTTTTGGAATTGGAATGATGGTCTACTTCTTAGCAAGTGAGAATACTGGCAATCCTGGGAGTGCCTATATGGCAAGAAGAAATTCTGATCTATTTGTGAAATAACACTGCTGTCCCTATAGTGCAATGCAGTGGTTGCTTGAACCTAGAGACATGCAGAAATTTGTAGCTAAAATGAACACAGATGCAATTCATAGTCAATTTGCAGCAGAGGTTAAAGATCACTCTGTTTGTGATTGAAATTAATCCAAGGGCAAAATCTATTCTGCCTGTTACTGAAAGTCTGTTAGAAGCCTGTCACAGCTTCCATGCAGAATTGCAAGGACTTCACGAGATTTTGAATCTGAGCTGAAGTTCCTTTTTCAACAGTCTGTTTTACACTGTAATAAAGAATAGAAACTCTCACCTGTTCCAGAGATAAGGACAGCAACCTTCACTTTGTTTGTCTGGATTTTGCCTTGGATATGGCTGTGCACAGACAGTGACCTATTTGCTTGCAAGGCTCGAAGAATATTATGGACTTTAACATGGGCAGAGCCTGAACATGTACAGGAAAAAAAAACAAAACCAAAACCACGTAGATAAAGGGAGAAACAGAGAGAGGAGAAAAGTACACAGGAAAATAGATTAGTGGCACTGCTTTACTTCTCATTATTTATTTATAGTTCTGGTGACATCTGACATTGCTAAGCACACGTTCTATGAACTAAGACTGAAGTCGTGAGGACTGTAATTTTAATACCTTGTGCAAAAAAGCCATGGGGGTGCCAATTAAGAGATTTTCAGCTAACCTCCATGGAGACTCACCAGCTAAGGAATTTAGATCTGCATTTTTTTTTTTAAAGGAAAATAAAAATCTAATAACCTTTTTGTAGGGAGACAACTTTCCCGATCAGCCAGGCTGCCTCGTGTCTCTGTATGTCCTTGAGGACCTGCTGAGCCAGCTCCTTCTGAACTACCAAGACAGCACCGATCCCACAATTAAATGTCCGAGTCATTTCCTCCTCAGAGAGGTTCCCTTCTTTATGGAGCCAGCAAAAGATTTCAGGAATCTTCCAGGTAAGAGCATCTGAAGAGAATTGAAAATAAAAATTAAGAGTGGAAATCACTATCAATGGACAAATTCTAAAATTATTAGAGCATTAAGAGGCAAGATCTGGATGGAAAGCAAAGACAAAGTCCCACAGTAGCATTAGCTTGAGTGAAATCAGCTTCCATGCACGGAAACAGGATGTTTTTTCCTTCCTTACTGAATAAAACTTGGGAGTAGAAAGAAGTGTCACTCTGGGAGGAAATTAATCATATTGCTCCACTGCAATCCGTTAATCAGTAATTCAAAACGGTCTCTGGGGCAGTTCTTGGAAAATCCTCTTCTTGAAGGTGACAACTCTGCTTCTGGAGAAACTATTGTACCAGAACGATAGCCTCAAAAACTGTCAAAAAAGTCTCACACTGCCCCCAATTCCACAAGGTAAGGACGATTTACAGCAGCACAAGAAATGCTTCTGGACAAGCCACTGTAAAGGAACTCCAGAGACAGTAAGTTTCTTTCTCATGTTGTATTCAAAATAGTATTAACCCCATTTATATATACTAGCATCTCCTGTGGACCATTGTTTAAGTGACAAGTGGAAGAATTATTTACATGCAGTTCTGGAGTGCAAAACTCAGTATTAGTTCCCTTATTTTATTCTACAACCCAATGAACACTGCATAACCTATAGTAAGTCATTTACCTTTCCATACTACACTTTCTCCGTAAGTGAAATATGACTTCTAGCATACCTGACGAGATTGTGGTGAGGATTAATTAAGATATGTCAAATAGCATGAGATGTACTTGAGCTAGTAACCATATCTGAATGCTGATCAAAGACTTCATGAGTGTCATTTAATTAGCAATAATTTTGTAGGTTATTGCAAATGGTGACAGCTCATTTTGGGTTCCTTTTGAAGTTATTTTATTTTTGCAAGTATGGATAGAGTTTCCTAAAAAATCCAATCCAAAACACCATCGGGGAAGTGAACTCAATGAGCAGCAGTCTTAAGACTGCAAAGTGTTTTGACTGGCTCTGTTTCAGGCACAAGGAGAAATTCAGCAACAATGAAGAAAAAGGCAAACTTATTTCTAGACAGGCAAGTCTAGCTCTTACAGTGCAAGTCAGTTGACATGGCCCCATGTACACGGCTTCCTCCAATCCATATTAACATGTGGATATTTCTACAGCTTTTCTTTTTATCTCACCTAAAACGACACCAAAGGACTCTGGGAGAACTCTGGGGATGTTTTCCAGCAAGCCCCCTCCAGTGATGTGGGCATAGGCTTTCACATGGCCTGAGCGAAGGACAGGCAACAGAGTCTTACTGTAGATCTTGGTTGGGGTTAACAAGAGATCTCCTGAAGATGAAAGAGGATGAGAGAAACCAGTTACAGCACAGAAAGAAATGTTAATCAATATGAAATCGAGGAAATCTCAAAATATTAATTTGCTGGATACTAATGAGCACTGCACTACAGAGAAAAACACAACATTCTACCCTTTTTAGCACACAATTAGTTATTTATCCCCCTCCCTTAATTTTTTTCCTGCATATGTGATTCAGAGGAAAAAAGAAGACAAGAACATGTTCAAGAACAGAATAATTTTTTTAGTGCCTTAGAAAAGTTACAAAAGCAAAGGCACAGACCAAACAATTGTGTGACATTTGCCTGTTCAGAAGCTCAAGTTATAATGCAAGAAACTCCATCATAAGTGGTACCTAATGTCTGATCACCGGAGACGCCAACTGGAGAAGAGAAATCGAACGATGACTTTTCCACAATCTTCCTTACAAGGCTGTACCCATTGCTGTGAACCCCAGAAGAAGCTACTCCAATAACCACGTCTCCATCAGCAATTCTCTCCAGCTGGGGCAGCATCTGCCCTCGCTCCACTGCACCAACAGCAAAGCCAGCCAGGTCATACTCTCCGGGTGGATACATGCCTGGCATTTCAGCAGTTTCTCCTCCTGTGGGAACCAAAAAAAGAGAAAGGGGGTGTTGGAAAACCATTGGGACCAGTAGGCATGCAATTTTTCAAAGTTTTAAACTCATAAGGCATCAACAGACTAGATTTTTTAATTAGATGAAGAAACATTAAAAAGAATTAAAAACACGTTTGTCACAGGCTCTTCAATTGAACATGCAATAAAAAAATGGGAAAGAACATTTCCTCCCTCACTCTGACAACCAGTACCAAATTACGGTCCATTCACATTTTAAAATCAAAGCATGTATTTAGTGCTTTGTATTTCCAAATTTCTGCCAAGTTTAGTATTCTCCATGAAAAACCTACAAGATGCAAGAGATAGATAGATAGAAGAAATTCACACAAGGACATCAAAGGAATGACATAGCTATTAGTCTCACTTGCCTTCATAAAGATTTTGTATATAGAGCTATCCTGCCTGCCACTCCTGCCCACAACCTGGCCATCATTATCACGCCAACTCTGAACATCTAAGGTTTATAGACTCTTTTGGGAGAAAAGAGGGCCTTTCCTACCCATCCGTGCAGATGAGCTGTTGTCTAGGCTATTATCTTATATCCTGATTATTAGAACATCCTCTTGTTTTGTCCTGAAAACCATGTTTTATCTGGCTGACCTCATTCAGAGAACAGTCTGAAAAGGTAATTTTCCCAGCTTGCACAGAAACGCACAGCACTGCTCAGACAGCATTCTCTCTCTCTCTCTCCATGCCATACTGGCCCCCCTACTGCCCTTCAGATAGAAGCTGATGGTCTTCACTGTTGAAGACCTGTGTTCTGCCTGCCACGGTCTCATTCAGCCTAGAGAGGGGAACTTGCTGTGTTTCGTACATGAAACGAGCATTTACTGCTCGCTCCAAAGTTTTCCAAACAGGCATCTTCACACTACCCCCTCATACCGGGTAGAAACTCTCCCCAGCTATCCTCACAGCCATCTCGTTACTCTTCTTCAAACCCCTCTGCTGGTCACGGTGGCTACAAGAAAACAACTGGACAATGATTAAGTAGCCATTATACTATGACCTCTGCCCAACACGCTGACCAGTACCGTCTTGTTTTTCTTTTGCACTCACCAGGCTTCATTCAATACCAAATTCTTCTATTTCCAGGAAGCGTCCCTGAAGGGGCTCCAAATTTACCTGAGTGCTGGTGGAAGCTGCTTTTGTGCTTAGTGCTTGACACTGCTCAATACTAGATTCTCTGGAAGCTTTTCCAGGTTTCTACATTACATTGCTATAATCAACTTTAAAATCAAAGTTCATTTGCTTAGATACATTAGTTTAAATCTGTATTTAATAATGTTTGTGCAAAACCACGCATGTACATAAGCCCTTCAGTACCTCGCTGTCAAGTGGCGTGATGAGCTTAAGGTGGTTGAGCTGAATACTCAGCTACTGCACAAATGCAAGGTCAGAATTCAGTAACATGCTTCAAATGAGACTTTTATGAGATGATACTGTACGAAGACAGATATGCAAGCTATGTGAATGCACAATGAAACGAATGTGTGAAGTTGGAGCCCAAACTGCAGTTTATTTTGATGATCCAGGCTACAGAAAAGCATTCCCTCCTTAGGTTCAGAGTAACTGCATCATCTCTGTCCCTTCTTTTCTGAGGGTGCCAGAAATTTGGGGAAGAAGTCATGGTTGTTTTATTTATGAGTTGGGACTTATTTTTATGTTAGCACAAATAGATATTTACTAACCCATTTAAAATTTTGAGAAATTATTCTCTGGTAATTAATTTACAACATCCGAAGCCCTTTGTAGTTTTAAAGTCTTCCAATTGGAAATAAAATCTTGAAATTTCAGTAAGTAATTTCATAGCAAGATTTCACATAAGATGTTCTTATGCTGAAGTATGAATGGTTTGATTATATTTGATAAACTGAGAGAACACCTTAAGACAAATATAAAGCTGACTAACAGTTCATGCAGAAAAAAATAAACCAGAACATAAATAGCCTCTTGTTCAAAGCTTGTAAACTACCTCAAAATTACACACTCCCACTTAGAAAAGACTTCTGTTACTACCTTTCTTAAAGAATTGGAAAAAAGGACAGAGCTACAGTATTACTAATTATAAAGTGCTACCTAAAGTAAGACATGCGAACTGTCACTTTTAGTCTCAAATTAAAGGTCTTTTTTCAAAAATCATAGTAATTCTCCATGTCTGTTTTTATAAAAAAGAAGGAAAAATAAAAACTATGCGAGAAAACTGAACTTTCTGGGTTTCATTGCTTTAAAATTTAACCCTGTGTTGTACTCCTTTTATAAACCAAAGACTTATACAAAAGAATGTATTTTTCACTGACCTAGAAATATTTTTATTGAGCTCAACAGCTTTAAAGCTGTATTTTTTAAGATTCAAGAAGTGAAATATTGTGTCATTTTCACGGATAACTAGATTACTATATACCAGAATACATACAGAATTTGTTAGTAACATGTATTATGTACTTGTATTATAGGGCTGAAAAGGAAAATGTTTAAATTTGAGTCTTAACATCTCGGAACATGCAGATCTTGCTGAAATAAATCTTCAGCAAGTCTTCAGTAGACAAATAGTTTTGCTATTAGTTTTGTAACTAACAAAACCTGGTTTCTTTTATGTTTCTGTCTTGTGGTTAACTTCTGTGTCTTAAGTAGGGAGCTCCAGCTGAAGCTTTTGTTGCATTCATAAGAACATTCTCTGGCTTTCTACTTTTATGAAGCTTGTGGGAACACAACAGCTGTGAGATCTCTACCTTTCCTGTCAAATTCGGTTAAAATCAGCCAAGAGGTTCCAAGGATAATATGTATGCACACAGGGACATGTGCATGCACAGTAACACATATAAATCTTGTTTTTAGAGGGAAACTTGAGGATTTCCTTTAGGATAAAGGATAAAAAAAAATAAACCTATTTGGCATGTTTTCGAATTTACTTGAAAAATACAAAGAATAAAAATACATGAATTGTTAGTTTTCTAGGTAGCTGTTATAGTTAGAAAGTTAAATGAAAAGATACGAGTAAGAAAATTTATATGCAACTTCCTGAGCTAATGGCAACATTTGTAGAGCACTGTCATCTTCCAGTGGGTAGAGATTATGTCCTCTGAAAGCAAAGACATGTGACGCTTTGTTTTTTTTTTTTCTTCACTCCTCTACGATTCTTCAATAGTGTAGGATAACAAACACATTAAAACCAATTATAAAGAGATTGCATAAGATTTTTCATATCCTTCGAAGAAGAGTGTTCATACCCAAAAGAGCACATCCTGCCTTTTTGCAAGCTTCAGCTATTCCTGCAATGACACCCTGAGCCACTTCAACGTCAAGTTTGCCGCAGGCAAAATAGTCGAGGAAGAAGAGGGGCTCCGCTCCTTGAGCCAAGATGTCATTGACACACATGGCAACCAGGTCCTGACCTATGGTGTCATGTCTCTTACACACTTGTGCAATCTGCAAAACACAGCGAGAGAACCCGTTGGTTGGCTTTGAGAAACTGAAACACAAGCAGAGCGTTTGCAATGGAAGAATGGGATCAAAATCATGCTCTTCCTCTTAGCCTCAGTAATTATCATCTCTGTGAGCCTTTCCTAACATTTTATTTTAGGAATTGTTACTTTCTTAATTGGCAAGTACGAAAGGCACTTTACGGAAGGAGACTGAACTGGAAAGGATTTCACTGCAGCTTGCGTAAACACAATAGCAACTGTATAATTAAATGTTTTTCCCCATGAGTAATCTTTTTGAGGGTGGAGATTCTACCTTAATGAAATGGAGTCCCTGATTACGTACTTAATATTAAAAATGAGTTATTTTCAGCATCATTTCAAGGATGGCTATTTACCTGCCAGAAGTTAAACGTATATTTAATTCTTTTGCCTGAAGGAGGGCAATTTCATTTTTCATTCCCTTTTTAGAAATACAGATAGGTATTTTTAAAATACAACTGATATTTTCTGTTAAAACATTAATGATGTGATTAAACATGTTCCCTTCTGTGCTATTTTCCTTCCTTTACATGGATTTTCACATTACCTTGAGTTTTGTGCCAACACCATCAGTTCCAGATACCAAGATAGGATCTTTGTAACCAGCTGCTTTCAAATCAAAGAGCCCAGCAAAGCCTCCAAGTTCCGCATTGCAGCCTGCCAGCCAGAAAACAGGAAAAAATATTAAACTTTTACTTTCATGGGTTTCTCCAGGATCTCCAACACATATCTGTCAACATGACTTTGCTTTGTCACCAGGAAACTTTTCTCTGACATTTAGAGCCTCTTCACAGCAGCACGGGAGCTCCTACTCCTCTTAAGTTTGCTTTGTCTTTACTTCTTCATTATTACCTAAGGCTAAAAATCCAACACTTTGTGATTGAACATCCAATAATTACTGAGACTGATATATTTCTCTCTCGCACTTAGTATTTTTCTGAAAAACAGAAAAGGAGTTGTGGTTACAGACTGAAGCCCACTGCTTTCTGGGAAAAGATGATAACTAGGCATTTTCCAATTGAAATTCCTTATCTCTTTTTTAATATTGCTACTTAGAGTATATTAAGACTCCTTGTTCCTAAGACTGGTTATGATAGGTAAGTATGGTAACCTTAAAACTAAAATTGGTTAAACCCTAAGAGTGTGTCCTGGTTTTGGCTGGG